CCAAAATTCAGGTGGTCCTTTCTGAACACAGTTGGTCCATCTTTTTTGTTACTCATTTGTTTTTAAGGAAACTTCAGATTTAGAATAACTACACTTAAAATTTGTGACAGAGACATATTTATTATTAGATTTATAACAACTGAAGAAAACATGTATTTTTTCTATTTCAATCTTAGATCAGATAGTAAGTCATTGTAATCCTATTTAGTATTTATTATCTCATTGAAAAATACATGACAGTACTCATACTTCGGTTAAGTGACTTCTTCCGCAACTCAAGTTAGGGAATAGTGAAACCATTTGTGAATGACTTATTTCCTTACTGTTATTCAGATACTCATTGCTGTTTCCTGGTACATCTTATAAGAATAATAATTGCTTTTTATAGATAAACATTTTTAATTAAACTATTAAGTTATTATATTTTTGTCTTTGAAACAATGAAATATTAATGATAAACAGAAAAATTCCTACATTATAATTGAGCTTATCTTCCTCACAGATTTATTAAACATGATTGTTTGTTGAAATTTATTTATTTTTCACAAAGTATATATAACGTTTTAAAGTATTATCAAATTTATTGTATTTGACGTAACAGGGTCAAAATGTCAAAGAATAGGTTAAAAAAAGGGTAAGCATTGTTGAGATATGCTAGCGTCTCGTCATATATAGGTTTGACATATATATTGAACGCAACACTTAACTGCATAAATATAAGAACCCTGGAAATGGAAAATGCTATGTTGAAATACATAAACAACATCACCCTGAAAACGCCCAAGAATAACAAACAGCAAGACTCGCGCAGAGATAACGTGATACACAAACATTGCATGGCGTAAAGCACTCTCACAAGGAAAGTAACTCTACTGAAGTGGCGTAAGATTGGAGACCGTTTCCAGAATGGAGACTGTTATACAAACCACTTTTAGATATGGTGGCCGGTTGCGGTCATTTCAAACCCACGTGAAATTTTATCATTTTATCATAGAATGTCGTGGTCAACTTACAAAATCTCAGGACTTTCTGCCGAAATCATACAAATGGTGTGTGGAACATATAAACCTCGATATTTCATAACAGTTTTTGTAAACAGCAAGATACATTTTGTTACAGTAGCCGGTAACTAGGCCACTAAAGTTATGAGTATATGTAGCTTGACATCAAACAAATTGCAACACAAGCTTTATTTAGTATTTTGCAATCAATATATATGCATGGACCTTGTAGTAAAACCCTAGAAAAAATATACCTTCGGAAACTTGACTTTTGGCAGGTAGTTTATGCGTATATATCTGTCCAGGCATAAAAATCTTTTTTATTATTTATTCACCTGTGACACACAAGATAATTACCCCACCCACTCATAATAATAATGCAAAACGTTCAAATTGCATTATCTTAAAAATACCTAATATTTACAATTGAAAAGAGGTTCAAATAATATTTATATCACATAAGCTTATATAAATAAAGAAACATAATCACTTAAGACATTTTAAAAGCAAAATGTAACATACGTTACATCAATTACATTGACATTATTCTAGCATTTTTTAACTATTTTTGAAAAATTTATGAAAATAAAGAAAACAAACTTAGTTACAACAAACAATGCATCTGGTAATACACTCAATTTCTGAAAGTAACTCGTTATTTAGTCTTTTGCTGTGTCATTTAACATATTTGTACGTTACCAAAGTCTCATCCATCCAAATATTACCTTAAATGTTATGCAAACTATCACTTTTAACATGATTTAGTAGAAATAACTTCATTTATCATCATCAGGATTGTCCAACTATCTATATTGCACAACACTTAAGTTATTGAAGAATAAATGCTGAAAATGAGCTGTAGTTATGTCTTTAGTAATGGTTCAAAATTAGAATTTTATATGTATAAAATGCAAATTTTATGTCATGTATCATTTAGGTTGCTTTAAAAAATATTTCACCTTTGAAATTGAATGCCATCACATCTAGTTCAACCAATTTATGTTTTCTTCCTTATTATATAGAGAGATATTTAAAAGTGATCTCCACATCTCTATGTCTCTCATAATGCTCATTAGTTCGACTGCACTAGGTCACATTTAAAAAAAAATTATCCTTTCAATAACTTTCAAAGTATTGCATAGGGGTTAAAAAGTTTTTTATGCTGTTTTCGATGGTCTTTTCACTAGATTTGCAAGTCGTGTTTTTGCACTTTTCATGAAAAGAACGTCTTGAAATGACTTTTACCATTTACCCCTTTGATTCTTCCTAGGACCTTACTTCACGCTTAAAGTGTCTTGTTTTACACAAAGACTTGATTTAAACATGAAGGTTTCAACTTTACTGACAACATCGGCACGAAATTTATGTTCTTTCTGCAACTTACACAGTTATTGTCTTAAATAAATATACGTTCAACATTTTTTTCTTGTTTCTGAACTTCTAATCATATTATGGTCTCTTGCAGTTTTCTCTTCTCGTCGTAATGATAACAATACTCTTTTCTATCATTTCGGCTTTACATCCAGTCATCTAAAATGGAATTAAAAAGAGATTACAAAAAACATTGTCTGGTCTTAAAAAAATAATACTATTCATCAAATACATTTTACCCAAAAAGTGGAGTCCTCTTCAGAGAAATGCATAAATTTGGGTGCACTATAGAGCAAAACGTATGTTCAACGTCAAATACAGCTTTCATGATCACAGACTCAATCAAACCATGCCTGTAATTTTCAGTAAACTTGCTGTTTTTAATGCTTCCGAGGAATCACTTATTTTACCAGATATTTATACATCACAACAGCAGATGTGAAGTGCTGTGTGGCAGGCGTAAAAAGTTGCCCCGTACTTCACTTCAGTATTGTTATATTTTTCTGGTCTTTCGGGATCATTGAATCCAGCACTTTAAAGTGTTGAGAATTTAGTACTGCTCTATCCGGTGCTCTATAAGGGGGCATGAGGGATGTTGCACTTTTTCATTATCCGTCATACTCAATCAACCGGCTCTGCAATTTTCATGTAAATTTGCTTTTTAATGCATCTGAGGGATCACTTTTTTACCAGATATTTAAATTACATCTGTAACTGTTATTGACGGGCTGTAACTGTTATTGACGGGAGAAACAGAATTAAATAAAAGGAGGCATTTCCCCTGTGATCACATGGTTGTAGGTATGACAGGGCTTTCATTTTTGGCTTATCAAAAAAAGCTCCCGAACTATTTATCAATCACTTCATATAAATGAGTTATCTGTTTATTTAGGCCAATATTTTCAATATGGTCTGTGAATCATAACAGATAGACAAACCCTATTAAAGATAGGCAGATGTTAACAGTATCTCAGAATCAAGTTTTACAACTATCAAATTTTATTTTTTGGTAAAGACTCTGAAATCACTAGTATGTAAAAAAGATAATATATACTCGTATCATGCTCAGTATTACCTTTCAATTCTTATCTTCCAAATGTTATTAAAATGAAAGCATAGTAGCTATCATGCACAATGACATTTTTTTTACCAAAAACTAATTATCTGTTAATAAATATCATGCATTTATGATTCTAAAATTAATAACAATTTATTCTAGATTTCAATCATTGTTTACCCAAACACGCTTCCGTAGTTACATTTTGAAGCTTAACCCAGGATAAACTTAAATTTGTTTATTTTTATTTTTCCTACTTCATAAACATCTTATTATCAAAAGGAATGTTAAAATAAAGGCTAATGATATTTATATCTCATGAAAATTGCAAAATCTTTACTGTTTTAAACGACAAACGCCGATTTATATACACGCGAAAACCCATTACAATTCATTCATTGTATTTGATATTTGGGCATGTACGAGGCTAAAAGTTGTAAAAACAAGTAAATATGATATAAAAATGTATACCTACTTTGCACAACAGCTTTTAAATCCAACTCACAGTAGAAAATGTGTAAATTTTGATATATTTAAATCGCGCGGCCTCATAACTTTTGTTTACCTAGACACCAGTTAGCCTACAGTATAAAACTCTGTGTATGGTGTACATGAAGAGCCATATAAAGACTCGAAACAAATGCAAAATTTGAATTGCTTTTTTACGGGTTTGCCATGGTTAGAATTTTTTAGGGTTTTTACCTGTTTTATATGATGTGTATAATAAACTAAAAATGTAAAAAAAGCTTGTGTTGCAATTTGTTTGACGTTAAATTTTACTTTAATCGGACTAAACGTCCAGGGTTTAACTTTACATTTTGTCCCTCGTTTGTCTATATCTTCAAATGACCAGGAACAGAAAGAAATCCGCGACATTTTTGGGGATGTTATATAAATTCAACAAAATGTCGAGGTGAAAAATTACAGGCCGCTCCTTTTTGTTCTTCAACAACGGTCGGCAAGTAACAACCGCCACAGAGACATTTCCCGACTCAAACTCAGCCTTTTAAAAGAGATGCAAAACAAAATATCGTGGATCATAATGGCCAAAATAGACTATCTACAGTAGGCATATGTTTCCATGGCTTAGTGTATTATGTAGACAGGAAATGTCGCGGTTTCCTTCGTGAATGAAAGGAGTGTGACAACAAAACCTCGAAATTTTCTATAAACCGCGATATTTTATACATTTTCGGCATAAAATCGCGGATTGAAAAAGTTACCCGCGACATTTTATAAACTTACAGTAAATTTCTCAACGCTACAGGTCACAATAGTCAAAAGTTAACTGAGATTTTTGTGTGTATATTTGCAATTGATGGCAAAAAGTTTATTTTATCGATGAAAATAAGTAATTTATATACATAGTAAATATATACATATTTAAAAAAAAAGGTGTTTCGTCAGTAGATTTTGATTGATGTGATACATGCAAGTGTGAGTGTTTGTGCATGCGTGCGTGCGTGCGTGCGTGCGTGTGTGTGTGTGTGTGTGTGTGTTATAGATAAAAAAAGTTATAAATCACGGCGGTTAGTCGATCATAGCTGGAAGTCGATCAAATCAAGTGCATATATGTATATAAACTGTAATTTTAAGTAAATAATTATAGAAAATCAAGTAAAGCTTATACTCAATTGAGCATTTAAAACAACTTATTACAATAAATTTATTATACAAGAGACATTTCAGAAATCAAAAATAATGAAAACATATGCTGTATTTCAAAAAAGGAAATTAAGTATCTTGCTATTCATTATTTTACAGGCATCTCTATATTTCATTTACATTGGCCGGAGATTAAACTGTCAGTAAATCTAACTTCAAATAGTATTTTCAAGGAACTAATAATGTATCATCCAAATCAAATCCATATTACATCCATATCACAGCCCATATAGGCTCGTTCCCATTATTAGGGTTCAAAATATATAAATCAAATATATACCTAGTTTTTAGTTTTAAAGTCCAAATATATATGTCCAATGTATATTGTACTCCATATAGGCTCATTTCTATTTTCAAGGTAAAAATAAAATTATATTAATTCCCTATTGTATTTGAAGTAACAGAGTTCTTGTTCTATACCATTCTGCACTAAAGCTGAATTCACAGATTATGTGTATGTACAGATACCGTACAGATATCACATGTATATAATTATACATGTATAGTTATATATAATCACAATTATTCTGCATTACTCTGGAACTGCTGTGTCTCCTTGCTCGTGCTCGGGACCTTGGTACGGCGGTGGCGGCTCTACTGGAACTTCTGCTGCAGAATATAAAAAAAAAAAATTGATACAATGTTTAAATTTATGTCAAAAGAAATACCATTCAAGTGAAAGATACAGTGGCAGAAGTGGCATGTGAGTGTTTTTATTTATCTAACGAGATACTATGTCGCGGCCACAGTTACTAAGTCGTGGCCCCGAGATAGCTAAGTCGTGGCCACGAGATACTATGTCGTGGCCACGAGTTACTAAGTCGTGGCCACGAGATAGATAAGTCGTGGTCATGAGAAAGCTAAGTCGTGGCCACGAGAAAGCTAAGTCGTCCCCAAGATATACTATGTCGTGGCCACGAGTTACTAAGTCGTGGTCACGAGATAGCTAAGGCGTGGCCACGAGATACTATGTCGTGGCCGCAAGTTACTATGTCGTGGCCACGAGATAGATAAGTCGTGACCACGATATACTATGTCGTGGCCACGAGTTACTAAGTCGTGGCCACGAGATAGCTAAGTCGTGGACACGAGATACTATGTCGTGGCCACGAGTAACTAAGTCGTGGAAAGGAGATAACTAAATCGTGCGCACGAGATAATTAACAAATCAGAATACACTATACATATTATAAATTTTTTAAACATAACAACTTAATTTTACATGCAACATTAATCTTTGAAAATACTCAAGAAATTCACATTGAACTTGTCTTTAGAATCATATTAGAAAGTCACCTTCCAAGTCCTTCAGACATTAATTTTGACTATAGCCCTTTTTGGGACAATTTTGTGATCGAATTGGTCAGTTTGTACGTACTACGGCCTGTTTACCTTGTTTATACGATAACATGAGAAGGAATAAGTCCTGGTTTATTTTATTTGGAAGGGACATTGCAGTAGATAGCCTATGAGGTAGAAGGTATAAGGTAAAATCCTTGTCTGATGAATAATTTAGAAGGGATAAGCCATGGTTTATATAACACAGAAAGGTCATTACGCCTGATCAATAACACGGGGAAACATATTATATGACATGATAGTTTTAAAAAGTTCAATACTTGGTTTGTGCAAGTTACATATCCTTTATTGTGAATTGTTTATAATACGAGTACTATCTTCTCTGCGTCAACATTTTCATGTACTCGGGCCTTTTAGTATTTCTAATGCTAGCATGGTGATCAAACACACTAATTGAACTTTCAGCCACGCTACAAAACCTAAATTGTTCCTATACATTGGCTATTTAATGATTATATGGAAGCAGTCTGCAGTTTTGTAGATGGTTTTGTACATCACTTATGGATCTCATCAGCACATATTTAGCTCAAATGTAACTTTGAGCAGCGATTCCCTTCGTTTGTAGCCAAATCTCAATAAATGTTTAAATCAGGATTTGTCTGAATGTTAAGCATCGGTCTGTAGTGAGATTTCGTAAAATCTCTGATGTTTTTAGTCCGTTTAGTGACATTTTCTTCATTCACATTGCATGTTTTGGACACACCAGAACCCACGCCGGAAAGAATATCTCGATGAAGACTGCATAGAAATCCAAAACAACAATGGGTAATATAGCGGAGAGCCAGCAGGGTAGAATCACATTTCGATTTTCTTAAAAAGAGGGATTGAATTTTATATAAATGTTTAAAAAGATGAAAACTTACACTGCGATTGACCTATTTTTACAGTCAAATCTGGTGTTATGCGTCACATCTGGTGCAGCAGAAATTCACATATAATTTTTACCGATGCTCATATTTGAGATACATATGGGGTTCCATCCCCCGTGAATAGATGACATCTAATAATTTCGAGGTCATTGGGTCAAAAATCAGGGTCACAGTGACGCTTAATGTAAAATTATTGACCAGTCAATATATAAGTTGTATAAATGGCACTTTTACAGGCTGGTGAAGTAGGGGCATCCTTGCACTATAGCACATGTCTAGTTAATTAGGGAAATTCATATAAATGGTGTAATCTGACTGGTTAATACTATCTCGTGGCCACGACTTAGCTATCTCGTGGCCACGACTTAGTAACTCGTGGCCACGACTTAGTAACTCGTGGCCACGACTTAGTCACTCGTGGCCACGACATAGTATCTCGTGGCCACGACTAAGCTATCTCGTGGCCACGACTTAGTAACTCGTGACCACGACATAGTATCTCGTGGCCACGACTTAGCTATCTCGTGGCCACGACTTAGTAAATCCTGGCCACGACATAGTATATCGTGGCCACAACTTAGCTATCTCGTGGCCACGACTTAGTAACTCCTGGCCACGAGTTACTTAGTCGTGGCCACGATAAGTATCTCGTGGCCAAAACTAAGCTATCTCGTGGCCACTACTTAGTAACTTGTGGCCACGACTTAGCTATCTCGTGGCCGCGAGATAAATAAAAACACACACATGCCACCTTAGTGCCACCGTAGAAAGAAGAAAATTAATTATATCGAAAAGAGAAAAGAGTACATTTCTGTTAAACTTGTTTCCATTGTTAAAAGATAAAAGGAAAAGTTATATATTTAATCCAAGTTTGATACATATATTTTTATTTATAAATTCGATTTGATACCTCCTTGCAAAGGATAACCCTCTAAGTTATGTGTTTGCTCCAATCTTGCTTTATAATGTAGGTTATACAGCGCACGTGACAAAAGAACAGACGACAGAATTAGGAGCAGAAGTATGCCAAATATCCCGCCTATTACTATTATCACAGTTAATGCAGTTCCAGAAATCACGCCCGGTTTACCTGTAGATGTAAACACAAAAATTGTTTACCTTATTTTTTATCACAAAAATATGGTGGCTGATTTGGAACGCTTTTGTGTGTCATGTTGTCGCTAGCGAAAAGACGACAAAGCGCCTAACAACGCGTTGTCGGACTTTCGTCTTGTCGTCCTGTCGCTAACGATGCACGCCAAGTGGCGCGCTGTCGTGCGGCGTGTTGTCTCGATGTCACATTGTCGCTCGGCTCCAATCGAAGGATTGGCTAAACGTTTGGCGTGCTTTTCTAGAGACAGGACGACAAGACGACAGTGCGACAAAGTGCTGTTCGGCGTGTTTTGCTCGTGACAAACGACTAGACCATACAAAAATGCAAAAGTTTGAATAATATATATACAACATGTAAAAGGTTATAACTCAGACCAGTAATATCAAGTTAAAAAAGTGTACTATTTCAATTACTATATAGGTTAATGAATCAATTAATTATATAACTAATCTTTATTTCCTCCAATACTGAGGAGTTATATGTTATAATGCATAGATGATTCTATATCTACAAAGATAGAATATAATTTATAACGAAACAGAAACATAAATAACCAATATACTAGTATGATGACTAATAAAGCATTAACCTCTTAAGCAAATGACATGATAATTTACAAAATAATTTTACTTGTGCCATAAACTCTCAGTTCAGCATATCCAAATCCGTCTTTGTGCAGATTTTTCTTCCGTTGAAAAATTATTTGCAGGGTTGATTTAGAGGAACAGAAGTCTGCCGAGTGTTTAGTGTCACACCTGTAAGTCTACAATTATGGTCTTATTTTAAGTAAACAGCTGTTGTTTTATTTGTAGGTATTAATAAAATGAACATATGAAATTAGATTTGAAAAAAGGATATAATAGAAAATTTTCTTCTTTGGTAGACACATTTGGTGAGCCAATATGGTCTGAAATTTTCCATACAAATTATTGGTGCAGACCGATATCAAGTGGAAAATTAATTTCGGGGTATGTCATTTCGAAAACCTTAGAGTAGTCCCTTTAAAATAACACAATGGAAAGGTGGCTGAAGTGTAGAACAATCATTTTATATATTACGAGTCTTTACATGAATATGATAGTCTTGATTTTTTACGTTATTTACAGAGTCTTTACACAAAAATATTAGAAATGGCATGTTAAAGGAGGAATATGTTATGTTTGGTTTCGAGGAAAGAAACTTTGAGTGACAAAAATCAAAACATTTTCATGAGCGTGCAGCATGTGATAAATTAGAAAAGTTCACTTCAGAAAAAGAATTTATCAGATGATGGTGGTGATGGTAGTTTTCACCCCGGCTCACGGCAGTAAGCCACAATGAATTTACCACAGCATAGTTCAGCCACCGCATCGTTCCTGGGCAGGCTATCAAGCAGTTTACCAGTACTAGTTGTCTTCACTTTCACAAGAACTGATTATTTCTGTACATGCCAGCAGAGGTGCAGTGAGAATGACCGTAGAAAGAATTTCATAATCAATCTCAATCTGCGCCGTCCGGGAATCCAAACCGGATCGCCCGATTCCCAGACCAACTCTCTAACTATTGAGCTCTAGAATTATCACATACACATACGTGTATTACACATACGTGTATTTATATATAAATTTCGTGTCAAACAAAATTGACAGAATAGCGAACGCATGTTTCCGATAAAGTTGGTTACGCATGCGCAACATCATCAATATATCTGATAAAATAGCAGTTGCATATCTTGTACGTTTCAGACATGTATATGACTTATGTGCATTTATTAACTCTCCTAATAACTAGTAATATGATGTCGATGAGAAGACACAGCTGTTGAACTTCTTATATTATTATTTGTTGAATTTCTTGTTATATGCAATCTTTTACGTATATCATTTTAAATCAATATTTAAAATGTATAAGCACCAACTATATTTTGGTAAGACTTATGCATGCAAGCAATTAATTGAAAATTTAATATTTTGTAATTTTAAATCCTGAAATTCATGCTATTTCCATTGCGTGAAGGACATTACTTTGAATGTATATAACATACCTTTTTCTCAACGGACTTGACATTTTCTGCAAAAATAATGTCAGTTTCACAATCAAGATAATACTCCACGAAACTGACGCACACTTTGTCCTGTGCTGAAATAGTTACTACACAGTTACGTTCCATCAAATGATCAGCACTGTAACTAAATCGTAGTTCCGTATCTTTTAGGATATAAGGCAAGCGGTTACATGAATGCTCAACTGGTATAGACCGATCTGAAATGTATAATTATCATTATTTATTATGTTTAGAAGTCGTATTTCTGCGTATTAAAATACATGTATGAAATATTTATCTGATATAAAAAGAAACATACGTTACCCTCTTTAATCTTAGACATCTTTAACAGCAGTATTGCTACGTTAAATATCGTAATTTCATATCAGAAAAGTTTATATTGTACATTTAGAAAGAAACATATAATTTCACCAGTTTCATTTATGTGAAGACAGGTATTATGATTAAGTTAAGAAATAAAAGTTATGTACCATTCATTTCCCTCTGAATAACTTACCCTGCTTGAACTTAAAGTGATAAGTATTTACTATCAGTATAAACCAGAGCAGCGTGCTGACAAGTACGAAAGACCGATTTATTTTCTTGAATTCACGATTTCAACTTCATAAATTCACGATTTAAACTTCAAGAAGTCATGATTTCAACTTCATTAATTCATTATTTCAATTTCACAAATTCACGATTTCAACTTAACGAATTCGCGTTTTGAAGTATTAAAGTTTTGGATTTCAACTTCGTGAATTCAGGGTTTTTTATTTCGTGAAGTTCGAAATATGAATTCATAAAGTAGAATTTATGAAGTTAATATCGTGAATTAGTGAAGTTGAAATCGTAGTTCAAAACATGAGTTCATGAAGTTCATGAAGGTGAAATCATGAATTTGTGAAAATGAAATGATGAATTCGTGAAGTTGAAATCGTGAAATCGCGAAATTGTAATCGTGAATTCATGAAGTTGAAATCATGAATATGTGAAGTTGAAATCGTGTATTCATGAAGTTGAAATCGTGAATTCGTGAAGTTAAAATCGATAATTCATAAAGTTGAAATCGTGAATTCGTGAATTACGTATGTTGAAAACATGACTTCACAAAGTTAAAATTGTGAATTCACGAAGATGAAACTGGGAAAACATAAAGTTGAAATGTCCCCATCGGTCTTTTGTAGACCAGGCGCTATTCTGTTGGCTGACTTATATTGGTGAAAAGGGCGTTAAAAGGCGTGTATATTATTAGTTATAAAGATCGTTGACAGGTTATATGGCCCTATATAAACGGCTTTTGTAAATATAGCCCGAGCCGTTAGGCGAGGTTTATATTGCAAACAGCCGTTTATATTCGACCATATAACCTGTCAACGATCTTTATAATGAATTTATAATACAGCAAGCATCATTTTAGAGACAAAAAGTTAAATTTCTTCATGAATCGGTAGCAGCCGTGTATATTATTAGTTATAAAGATCGTTGACAGGTTATATGGCCCTATATAAACGGCTATTTGTAAATATAACCCGAGCATGAATTAATGGGTTAATGAATTTTTTAAAAAATCTACTAAACAACAATTTTTCTTCAAATTTATATGTTAGGCCATATTTAAACATGGAAAAACGCGATTTTGGGTAATTTCAAGTATTTTTATCATTTTCTGTTAATGAAAAAAATATATAAATCTACAAAACAACAATTTTTCTTCAAATTTATATGTAAGGCCATGTTTAAACATGGAAAACGCGATTTTGGGTAATTTCAAGTATTTTCATCATTTTCTGTTAATGAAAAAAAAAAAAAATCTACAAAACAACAATTTTTCTTCAAATTTATATGTTAGGCCATGTTTAAACATGGAAAACGCGATTTTGGGTAATTTCAGGTATTTTCATCATTTTCTGTTAATGAAAAAAATTTAAAAATCTACAAAACAACATTTATTCTTCAAATTTATATGTTAGGCCATGTTTAAACATGGAAAACGCGATTTTGGGTAATTTCAAGTATTTTCATCATTTTCTGTTAACCCATTACGCGATATACACGCTTTTAACGCCTTTTTCACCCCACCCTTTTTCGTTATCTCAAATGGTGAAAAAATGCCTTATTTAGCCCCCCAACACTTGTTTTTGTTTGAGAAATGTTGTTAAAAACGTGACCACTTTTTCGGCGCGGCCCCCAACGAAAAGATACACCAGGGGGTTGCCAGAAGGGGGATGTGCCCCTTCTGTTTGGGGGGGGGGGGTCCCCCTCATCGCCAAGAAAATTTTGGATTTGTGAGAGGCTAAAAATGATATCGACCATAAGGTAACGTGTACGCTGAAAAGCAGTTGACCCTATCTCAATCCATTAAGAAGTTGCAACACTTTGAACTCAATTTTGATGGAAAAAATCAATGCAAAATAGTGATTTTTGGCAATTTTGAGATGTCCCCTCGTTGCCATGGTAAGAGGAAATCTATGCCTGAGCATGTTGTCGCAAAGGCAATGGTCCAGTCAACACTTGTGCCAAGTTTGATTAGTATTGAAGAAGTTTTTATAGTTTTATAGCAATTTGAACTTATCACGGGAGACTTTTCAATGAAAATAGCCATTTTTCACAAAATGCTCATGAAGTAATGGGTTAAACTATTTACATGTAGATAATAAACAGCTTGATCATTTTATTTCAAATCTTGCAGTTTAATGTTATTGAATCAATCTGAAAAGAAGTTCGTGATAATTCCCCACCTGTTATTGGTCCAGTGGCGACTTTAGGCAACAGAATCAACCATACCACGATAGTTATGATTGGACATCTTTTGTACAACATTCTGCCAAAATAACAATATTTTTCTTTGGTTTGAAATGTTTAGGCTAGGAACATACTTCCTACATCAAAATTACCCTTTCAAAATTTTAGAGAAAAATATTATTCAAGCATTTATCTTGATAAAGTTTGTAGTAAGTAAACGTTGTATTGTAAATACATGTATGTACTCGTATATTCATGAAGGTATAGTTCAGAAAAAAACATTTACTAACAAATTATTCTTGCTAGTCTTATATTATATCGTCGGCGGTCTTCTAAAACCTCGTAACTGCAAAATATCAACTTTCCAAAAACCGAAAAATACTGTATTTCATTTAAAACGGGCTATATGATCGCAAAATCAACATTACAAACTCCCTTGTCTATGATGTATTTAATAAATTAACTGAGCATCAGAATTTTCAATAAAAAAACACTGTGTGACACTTACGAGGTTTTATAACTGATGTGAATGCAGTTACGAGATATACGGCTTTTTAATTTTTAACAATCGTGATATACGTGTTTTTAGAAGGTATATCAACTAAGTATTAAGTGGCATTCCATTGTTATTTTAACATTATAGTTGCTTATTATATCACATTTTAGCACGGATTTAAATCTCTCTTCGTCGGTACTCAACAACACAACTGTTACTGTATACTAGTTTAGATCTATACTGTTCTACCTTGGCATTAATATTTAAAGACAATCAATTTTAGTTCTTTTATTAAATCAAACAACAGTTAAACCTTTCAAACATTTAATACGATACGAATACTAATTATTTTTTCCCTAATATAAAAGAAAATGTAACATGAACAATAAAAAAATGTCAAAGATGCAACGTTCTTTGGAATATTTCAACATATAATACATTATGATTATCATTTAATTCATTTACCTTGAAGAAAATGAAAAAACTGTTAAAGACGCAATGTTCATTGGACCATTTACACATATTAAACAAAATAAAACTTGAACAATGATGTCAAGGTAAATGCCATCTGATGTCTCTAATACTCCTAGTTAGCTGGGTGCGAACAACAGTTGGACCATTTACATACATACTTTGGTACGATTATCATTTAATAAATTTAACTTTAACAATAAAAAAACAACAACAATTAAACTTACATATTATGCAAAGTTCATGTCACTAAATAATGCTTTTAACATTTGTATTATCTAGTGTTCATCACAATCAATTATGATTTTGTTTTTCAGTTACTTTACTCAATATAAAACAACTTATCGCAATTAAGCATACGTGCTTCAATATATATTTGAATCGTATGTCAGTTATCGTGCTTGAGATTGTCATAAAAACTATGATAATCTTTTGGTATCACGGTCTTCAATTGTTGTAGATGCGTATACTTTGTAGCTTTGATAGACGATGGTCCAGTGGCTGCTTTGCCTACGCTCTCAACATTTGGTATAGCGGTTCGCGTTGCGCGACGTGGCATATCAATGAACTCTTCGTTATAACTTAGTTTATATTGTATCTGTCCTGATGGAGAGTACTTAATCACCCTAAGATCTGTTACGACTGGGTCACCCTTACTGCTTCCAGGTCTGATCGAACTATAATAGTTCAGAGAACTGTATGATTTAAAGAAGTCGAAAGCCAGATATTTCACTTCGTATGGTTGCGACACTCTTGCTTCTCCAAAAGCTTCTACATAATTTTGAGGAATATATATATTTCTTTTACGCAACCTTCGTTCGATCATACTGTGGACGCTGTCCACCTCCATCTGGGTATGGCCCTTTTCAAGAAATTTCTGCGTAATAACTATTTTATTTTTGATTGCAAATAACAGCAATGTATTAGCTAGTGTAACATTTCGGTTTTGGTACCCACATCCGTCACTGTAAACTACAATTTGTTCTAAACCAGGTTTTAACAAGTTGCTTAGATAGTCATAAATACAGCTTGCAAAAGTGTCGGCTGTTAGCCCATACTCTCCCTCGTGCCAAAAATAGCACGTGACGTGTTTAGTTGCTACATCGTAAACTGTGTAGTTATGGCATGCCAACTTCGTTTTATAGTATAGGGCACTGGCCTCCAGACGTGGGCAGAGCAAGACTGCCTGCGTATCAATTGTGATGACTTTAAGTTTATTGTCTACTAATGCTATATCTTTATCCTTCTCTTTCTCTTTCCTAGCTTCATTTTTTCTTTCAATGTGCAATCTGTATTCCTCTTCTGAGAGATTTTTAGTTTCATAAGAACAACAAGTGTCGCATTGATCTTTACGCGGCTTAAAAATTGAAAGATTCAAACAATTGAATACTTCCTTGAAGGTTTTAATACCTACGATATTTTTATCATTGTTACGACAATCCTGTTGGTAAACTCTATATAGATCCATCACCGTATTGAAGACTGGTTCGATATATTGTTTCATAGAACTGGACCGACAATAATGTGATGGCATCTTTGGTAAATTAGCTAAAAACGTCTCTACGTGTGCTCTAGCTGGCGAATCTTTTTTCCTTGGAATTTCATCACGGCTTTCATCTGGTATCCCGGTTATATTAACCCGATTCACCCAATCATATACCATATATTCGCCAATACCCAGAGTTGATATAAACATGTTCTTGCAGACTGGAACCCGTGTCTCTCCAAACTTTAGGTTGTATTTAAAAGTATGTTTTCTGCGTCCGCCAGCTTCTCCTGTACGCCTCTTGGGGATACACACATCCACCAAACCTACTACATACATCTTTTTTTCTTGCCAATTCATATTTTTCCAGAAACTATTGAATATCTCTTGTCTTTGATTTTCACTTATAGTGGTACAACGGAGTGATTTTTCACATCGTTTAGAACATGTTCTTTCAGACATTATTCGTTCATTTCTTTCCTTGCAAAACACATGTTTCCCGTGTTCATTTCTTGCATAGCCTTTGTAATTTTTCCCGTTCATTCTAAGGTTCTTTTGAACATTTTTTTCCCAAGAACTTACCTTGGCTTCTCCTTTTTTCGATCTTACTTTACGTATATTTGAGTTTAAATCTGTATCAACAATCTCTTCATGATCTATATTTTCAAATACGACAGTTTCACCTTCCTCGACAATTTTTGTATTTTCATTGTTTACCTGTGAAGTAGTCTGATACAGATTTTGTTCTTCACTGTAATCAATATTCTCATCACTGTCATACTGTTGGTTTCTTTTCTGTGGTGGTTCCCAGTCTTTGTCTGTAACATCATCATCGTAGTCATAAAATTCTTCTTCCATTTCATCTAAAGTACTTGTGTGGCTATCAGAATCTTCATTGTTATTAATGTCAAAACCAAATTTCTTATTTATGACATCATCTTGATTAGTTTCTTCATCTATGTTTTCCGTTATTACTTTTTGTGGACCATTAGCATTGTCAATTACTTTTATTTCTGTTCCTTGAATTTGTAAAGTAATGTGGCTTGAATTTTGATCAGCTTCACCATGGGAGTTATATTCAGCTGTCCTATTAGAAGTAGTTTTGTCGTTTCTCCCACTGGAGTTTAAGTGATCTTTTTCAGAATCATTAGGGGACTCATTTGTTTCCTCTAAGCTTTCATCATTGCAGTCTGTCTTAACCAGCTTTCTCTGTATTATTTTTTCAAGAGCTAGCTGCACCATGTATCTACGCTTAGTAGCCATGTTTAATGATTAGCTGTAGTGCGACCAGGTTCACAAAGGTTGCAGTGAATGCCGTTTTCTTGTAACTCGTTAAGATGTGAGTAGCTAAGTGCCTCGTCTGGGAACGTTGGATGAATGCATGTTAAGTGAAAGTATCTTGAGCAATCATCAAAAAGGCACCTTACGAAATAACGTCCGTTTGGTAGAGTAATCAAATAAGGTCCAACTTCAATAATCTGTTGCAACATCTGTATAAGGACGTTTGTATCCGGCTTATATTGGCATATATGACATTTGTATTCAAGAAGTTGCGTTTCTTCTGTTGATTCTGTGTCACTATCTCCTGACATGACAAGTTAAGATAGCTGAAAATAATGGAAAATATTTTGTTATCTACTATTATATAACATACTTTTATTATGTTTTATATTATTTAGAATAATTTCGCCTTAATGTCCAAGGACAAAAACAATCTAAATCAATTCGGGTCTGCTTTCATAAATTTTCTTAGTTGCGTTACTTCAAGTTATATTAAATTAAATGTCTGATGAAATGAGAATTTTTTAAAAGACTTACCAGCTTTAAAAACAAGAAATATACATTTATATTCCTATATTTAGAGACACTGTGTATAATTATGTTTGTGCTATGTACGGTATAAGTGTAGTGTTTAAAATACATAAAATGACGTCATTCAAAATAGTTAAATTTACGTAATAAACTATCTACCCAAATAACCTTGAGCGCAAACTACCAATATCATAGAATAATTTTGATGTCATTCCGACTCCTGTTAAGTTCTAAAATCTCGTAACTGACAAAAGCAAATAAAATATAGTCTATACAAAAAAATTCTAAAATGCCGGATATGCATTAATCATATTAAAACTAACATTTAGAGTAAGTTTGCACATTTCTAATTTTAAAAACAGTATTTTATTCTATCAAATATAACAGTTGGAAGGGAAAAATTCCGTTGTTTATTTTAGTAAGAGTAAAATACGTTTTAAAAGCAGTCTGTTTCTTTATTTGCAAAATTAAAGTCGATTTTCTCATTTTAATTGCATATATATAGTAATCTTATAACGTAATATGAAAAAACATGGACTAATATATAACATACTTGCCTTTGTGTAGACGTTTCTTGGAGTTTTCTAGAGTTTTCTGAGACTTCCTCCGGTTTGCAAAATTCTGTGCAGTTACGTGGTTTTAGAAGAACAAAATTTTATCCAATCAATATACGTGATTTTATCACGTGTGAATAAATAACGTTTCTGATTGGCTATAACCACGGGTACTTTTGCAAAATAAGCGGGAATTAAAATTGATTATAATAAGCCGAAAAAACAAATTTTGGCGAAATTGAACTTACGAGGTTTTAGAAGACCGCCGACGATATTATATCATAACATAACTAAGGTACCAATATAGCCCACTTGATACGGTTTGGGGGTTAAAGGAGTACAGGGAATAATGAAATTTTAAAAAAATTTTGATTATTATGGAAAGTAGAATCATCTATGATTTATATGGATTTATCATTTGATTTTATCACAGAAACACGATCTTTATCTTAAGTTTACTCCGCAGGAATTTGACACTGCGCTAAAACTATATGAAATACATATACTTAATACAAAATACTTCGCATATATTTTGAAATTAAACTTACCTGAAATGTTTTATTAAATATTCATGCATCGTTCAGGAAAACTATGGCTATAACATCCTGTCACATATATTTTTGTATGAAATAAAATAGTTTTCATAACCAATACACCTCAATGTTTGTTCTTAAAATTCTTTAACAGCCAAATATCTATCTTAATTATTTTTGCTTAAAAAATTCGCAATTACAACAAATCATTGTTTTAAACACAAGTCATTATTTTAAATACAGGCACAACACAGTCCTTGATAAATAAAGATTAGTCATTTTAATTATATCTATTCTTTTATTTCATTATCTAATCTAAGAAAAAGATCTAAAAATCTATCTAAAGCAAAGATAAATCTTTGGTGTGCAGCCATGATTACTATTCCATTATAACGTGTAAACATAGAGGTTTATAATGTATACATACGGCAAAATATAAATGTTAAATAAAATGTCAATTTTATATACATGAACAGTGATGATTTTCAACTTTAAAAAGTTCGTTCGTTTATAATATTTTGACATTTATGGTTGTATGATAAGCTGGGTGTTTTTCCGAGGGAGTTACAAATTTAAAGATAAAAAGGGTATATTCAAGTAGTTAATATTGTATCTCTGAAACAAAAATATATCTCGGTCGAATAATTTGATCAATAAATAAAAAAAAACGTTTGTAGAGATCTGCTAAGAAAATGACTTTGTTTGAGGCATTGCGGTTTCACAGGCGAAGACAGCGTTTTCATTGGATGACAAAGTTTGACACTAAATACTGGTAAGTCTATATAAGAAAGTCTCGTTAACCAAGTTACTCCTAGGACGGGGCTTAACTAATTTAGTGTCCAACTTTATTTGTCATCCAATGAAAACGTTGTATTGCGTTAATTTTCATAGAAGAACGAAAGTCGATACTATATCGAATTACATTGTACGTTCATAGTCAACTTCTATTTTTCATAGTACTTCATTGAACCGCAAAGTGACGTACTAAAGTGAATAATAATGAGGCCAAATAAAGCTTGACACTAAGTATGTTAGTATTCCTCCGTAGGTGTAGCATTCTCCTTTCGCTATCGCTCCCCTCTAAGTTTCTAATTTCTTTAGAACAACACGGATGAACACTAACATATACTTAACCCCAGGTGCATGATTTATAAAACTTTGTAGAAGACCAAAATACCGCGTCATGCCGAATATCTAAGCTCTAGGCATAAAAATATCTAGGGATAATTTTTAAGACTTCAATTTTATGTCTATTATAGCTTATGTGACATCTATCAGAATGAAATTATTTAGAGACGTTCCAAGGAAAAGTTTGGTCAAATTTCCACCATGTATATGTTAGTGTTCATCCGTGCTGTTCTACAGAAATAAGAAACTTCGACGGGAGCGATAGCGACAGGAGAATGCTTCTAATTTCCCTGAACAGCTACGGGTGAATACTAACATACTTAGTGTCAAGCTATATTCGGCCTCGTTATTATTCACTTTATTACGTTACTATGCGGTTCTATGAAGTACTATGAAAAATTGAAGTTGACTATATGAAAAGAATTCGATAAAGTATCGACTTTTGTTCTTCTATGACAATTAACGCGCAGAATTTTTAAGAAATAAAACATTTTCATTGGATGACAAATAAAGCTGCACACTAAAATTATGTTAGTGTTCATCCGTGCTGTTCTACAGAAATTAGAAACTTCGACGGGAGCTATGTTTACCATATACATAGTTTTCGTGTGACGTCACACATCCGGGCGCTTCATCACTAGGTCGCCATCTTTAGAGGCAAGCGGAACGGTCACGGTATCACGATTTCTATATAACTACATAAAATTATATATTACCCAAAGAGCGGGATCATTTTCATCCCAGATGACAAGCTTTATTTAACTTCTGTAGAGGTTCACTAGGAAATACCACATGCTTAATATAAAACCTATAACCACTTTAGTGTCACACAAGCAACTTAAATAGGACTTCCTATATAAGTCTATATGAACTAAGTGACTTCCAGGGCTTAAAGGACAGGATTGATAAACCTTTTGTTAAACGCTACAAGGTGATGTTATACATGTATGCCAAATATCTTTGCTATGAAAATTGTTGTTTCAAAGACGCTTACAAGACATGTTACCTATATGTATATACATGTACTTACTTATTCCCAGGGCGGAGCTAGTTTTGACTGTGTGATCAAGATTTATTAAATTATCGTAGATGTCCACTATGTAATGTCTTATCTAAAATCTAGGCATTGAAGTTTCACAAAGGAAGAATCATTCAATGTATATATATATATACTAAGTGACATTAAGAGCAGAGCCAACTTTGACCCTCCGGGACATTATATCTTAGTTCTGCGCTCTGTAATTTCTGAGAAGATTTTTAAAGATTTCATTTTTTGAAGTATATTTTCATTATCTGTGACTACACATTTCTCCTGAACTATTTACTTTTTGTAGCAGGTCAACTAAGATTAATGTGAAGTTTGGTCAAAATCCATCTTGTGGTTCAGGTGAGTAAAGAATTAACTGGCCAATAATTTACAGACTGAATGCCAGTACTATCAAAACATGATAGAAAAATATTAAAATAAACAACACTTCTATATGATTATATTTATTCATGCATATATTATGAAAAAATACAAGTCTACAGTATATGTTGTAAAACAAGAGAATCAAAATCTGAATGTATAGCACCAGTGCTAAAAAATGGAATATCAAATTGTTCTTCCAAAAAAATTCTTAGTATATATAATACTGGATAACTACAATAGTAATAATTCCATAAAATAATACAGATAAGGTATGTTTATATATGTAAACATTAGTTCTTGATTAATACAGAAAAACTTGGAATAAAACAATATTCAAAATGGTTCAAAATATCATAAAGCGTAAAAGGTATTATAACTTAAAGGGACTCCACTCAGATTTAAACGCCTTAAAACATAACATTTGAATTTCTTACATAAATGAGCTGGGACACTTTAAACAAAAATATATGCAAAGATAGTAAAGAAATATACTTTGAAATAAATTGAAAATCGTATTTTTTATGTTTTTCTTAGCCCAATTTGAGTGAGAAGCGTTTAAACGCTTTTCATTTTGGGTCATCTTTTACAATTTGAATAATCATTCTGGAAAAACGAATTGCGCGAATGATCTAAAATTTTGCACAAAGATTAGTGGTCTTAACCTACATCAAATGGTACATTTGTCTGGAAAAAATATTTTCAGTCCCATCATGTCAAAAAAACCTCAGTGGAGTCCCTTTAAAAACACACAAGATTCCTGGGGTTAAAATGTGACCTTGGCCTAAAGTAGGACATCAAAAACGCAGGTTCTCAGTAAAATCAATGAGGTAAACATTTGATAAAAGTATCATGAATATAACTAACACTTGTGTGGAGCTAAAGTTTAACACATAGACAACCATGTACATTACAAAATATATCTCTGGACGTATTATATAAAAATATAACTCTTTTTTCTTCAATTGATTTCCAGTTTAGATATTAGACACAATATCATCTCCTTGAAGCATGTCACAGTTTGATACACTGAGTTAACCCAGAAACATTTAAGAAATAATATATCCAAAACAGTGATTTTATCGCTCAATAATATCACTGTTTGGAGGTGAGATGAGAGGAATTATATTACGAGGACCAAGTCGGAGTGATATAATGATGTGCATCCGAACGACAAACAGTGATGCAATCAAGGAATAAAATCACTGTTTTGGATATATCATTTCGATTCTAGGTAACACGTTATCAACAAATAAATGCTGCCATACCTGATATTAGCCTTTATTATATGATCTAAATATATCTGCAATCTCATTGGTCCAAACAGTAGTCAACAGAACTTTTTATAAAATCATATTTACTGGGTGTAGTATCATATTCACTGGCTGAATTGGATATTCCCAGTCTAAAAATAGATTGAGACTCATATTCAATGATCATACACTGTAGACTGTTAAATACGCGTGTTACTTAAAAAATGATTGTTCCTTTTTGTTCTTTATGGCATATTTCTCGATTAAAATATCAATACATTACCATTTTACTTAAAGGCTACACCACAATAGTATAAACTTGAATTACTTTTGTATGCGCAGCGTTCGTGAAGTCGTTGCACGCCTAACACGTGCGTCTTTTTTCCCGCGCTTCAACGAGGCAAAATTTGTACATGTATATAAGGTTGTACTTTTTGTGATTTTTTTTGATTTCTTAGCCTATTCATATAATAAAACAATTATTGACTAGTGAGCCATTGAATATGATGTGATATTCACTGGTAGAAAGTCATATTGACCTCGGCTATATATTGCCCCTGATTTGTTTCCGTGCTTATTTTCAGCACGTCACAATTTTAGTGGTTATGTCACGTGTGGAATGATTATGTCACGTGTCTAAATATAGAATGTCAAGTTGTGATTTTATTGCATAATAACACACTTTTGGTTCTTCTATGGAGAAAAATGCAGGTCGTGTTAGAATATATACTAACACACCAAAATCTACCTTTGCACTTAACTTTTTGATTCTAAAAGGATCAATACTGTACATCTATAATTTTTTTGCAACATATTATGTAAAAAGGGAATATTTATCAATAAAATCATATATACATACTAAAAGGTTGATCATAAAAATGTTTAAAATTGTATAAATGAGGTAGATACTGTATATAAAATATTTAAAAAAAAATCATCACTGATTCAATGAAATCTGTGATCATTATTCAAATTTGAAAAAGACATTAAACACATGGCAGGATATGAGCAAGGTGATAGTAAATCCTAATTTAATAACAAAATAGATACATATTAAATCAAAAATTTAAAACAGAAACAACTTTTAACAAATAAAACAAATTTGATTTTTTTTCCTGAGAATCAAAGAAAATGAATATGAACATGTTAACATTTTTGAAAAACTAATAAATTTCTTTCTTTCTTCTTTAAGTATGACCTTGTATGATATAAAAATGGTGTCTCATTATATTCAATCATGCAGTCCTGTGTATAAGAACAATGATTTAAAACAGAGGTAACACAATCGGAAAATAGGCCAATTGGTTAAATTTGTTCAAAACATATATTATCTGATATTCTGAAACTTACTTATAAAATGATCTGATATTCTGCAACTTACTTATAAAATGATACATCATTCAGAAATATACATGTTTAATGAAGAATAATTCACCAACAAATCAATCATAATGACTTCTGTATTCATCTATGGAATAATTTGTCTATACTCACACCATAATTTACATTCTGTGCCGGGATATAAACTGTCAGAGAGGTCTGTGATTGTAAGATAACATTGTGCTTTAAATATCATAGTAAATTCCATAAACAAATTGAATGAATTATCTGATTATTTTCTGATCACTGCATTGTAATGAATTTTCATATAAATAAAGTGTAGGTTCTTCACTACACAGACTCGAAGGCTGAACAAGACTTAGTGTTATAACTTTTATTTGTGTAAACTGTCTGTAACTAAATCAATGAAACTCTTAAAAGAAAATATACACACTAACTTACTAACAGGTTATACTTTAATTAGCAATTCAACTAACTATAGTACTGCTGCAATAATAGAAACAACTAGAAATGTTTTCATAGGACACATATTCCCCAACACCTTTTTCCTGTTACAGTGGGATATTAACATACTTTCTTCTATTAAAGCCAAGTAATGTTAGTAAGCAATATTACTCATGATAGTATTATATCAGAATTTTCCTTTTCTTTTTTGGAAGTAATGACCAGAGACATAGATAACAGAGATGGGCAACTTCCTAGCCAGTTAAAATATCACGTGTGCCTGCTTAACTTAAAACTTGTAGCAAGTAAAACTTATTAACTAGATATTAAAGTCAGTACAATAATACATTTTCTGAAAGCTTATGCATTTGTATATGGCTGAAGGTAAAAATATTTACAGTTCCCATTTAAATAAATGTTACATTATTTTTTGAAGAGAACTACTAATAATTTTTGTTACAAAATCATTCATATGACAAAAAACTAAACTGGCTCAATGGGTATGTTCTGCCATGTTTTTCTAAGCAAAAGGCATGAAAAGTTACCAATATTTTAACATGCAGCAATAGATAAAAGATTTACCTTTCAAATAGTATATAATATAAAAGGATAAATTGTACATCCATTAAGTTTTATTTGCTACAAAATGCCTAATTTTTCACTTTTTGATAGGCATAAGTGATATTTCAGCTGAGTATAAAGGAGCTGCTTATCTCTGTTATCTATGTCTCTGTAAGGACATAAAAACTGGATATACTGTGATACAATGTTTACAATCAATCTCTAACAAAATAGAATAATTAAGGCAGTAACAAATTATTTATGCTTTCAAAACATTTTTTTTCTCTAAATTTACAACACTCAAATTATAATCTAACAAGAGGGCCATGATGGCCCTGAAATCGCTCACCTGTATATAGGCCCTTGGGGCGGGAAAACCAACTTGGTAAACACACATTAGAAAATGTTTCATGATAAATATCTAAGCTCTAGCTCTTTGGGGGTTTTACAAGAAGATTTTTGAAGATTTTACTATAGACATATAAGGAAAACCAGACCCCCAGGTCAGGGCCAATTCAACCCTGGGGCTTTTATTTGAACAAATTTGGTAGACACTCACCAAAAGATGTTTCATGCTTAGTATCTAAGCTCTAACTCTTTGGGTTTTTAAAAGAAGATTTTTAAAAGTTTTTACTATATACATATAAGGAAAATCAATGACCCCCGGGGCACAGCAAATTTTGACCCCAGGGCTTTTATTTGAACAAACTTGATAGACACTCATCAGACAATGTTTCATTAAATTCGTTGAACAATTTTTTAAGGTGACCACCAATGGACCATTCCTATGAAGTTTGGATGAAATTGGCTTAGCAGTTTCTGAGGAGATGTTGTTTAAAATAAAAGTTTATGGACGCCAGACAGACGCCGGACGAAAAGTGATCACAAAAGCTCACCATGTCACTTTGTTACAGGTGAGCTAAAAATGGAACCTTCATTAAACATGTGCATAGATAATTATTTCAAGCTCTAGCTTTGTTATCAGTTAAATCTAAAAACAAGTTTAACATGACATAAATAAAAATGTTTGCGACACTGGTGCATGCTAACTTATACAACTCTAACAAAGATAATAAACTAAAAGTCTTCTTTCAGTTTAATGATTTTGGCCTTGATTAATGGATAAAGTTCAAAAAATGATAGTGTCATATAAAATATTTAAGACGACAGTAACTAATTTAGCACCTATGAGAAATGGATAAAGTAATGGACAGAAGTAAGAATGACAATCCAGTAAATTTGATGCCTTAACATTGCCCCTCCCATCTATCCCACAATTTTGTTAAGGAGGTTTCACAAAAAATACATATCATATAAGAATATAAAATTTTGGAATGCATTATAAAGGAATACAATGTAATATCATAATGTAATATCAGACTTTGTATACTTTAAACAGTCATTTAAATATAAAACTATTCATAACAAAAATTAAAATTGACTAAAAGATTCAACTGACGTTATGCTCATATTTTCATTGTCAAGTTGAGCTTAATTGATTACATTGTATATATTTCAAAAGACTGGCTTTTATAGTGGCAATTGACTAAGAGTTGATTCTTGGACGGGCATTATGCCACTTCAATGAAACAAGCAAAATAAAAAGCTTCTCATCAGACTCAATAAAACTTTGAAATGATGATTTTTTCCCAAAATACTGAAATGTGATTGACTAATCTGGGTAATCTGACATTTTTAAGATAATTTGACAAAAACACATTTTAAAAAATATCTTGATAACTAATATTTAGCACCAAAAGTAGTTTGCCTGTCATAATCTTCCCTTCTTTAAGCTAAATAAAGGTGAAATGATGAATATGTTCAAATTGCATATGCAATGTATGTAGTTTTTTTTGTAAAGGTACAACATTAATATCACAATTCTTTCATTTGAGGTAGTCTGCTTACATTTATACCAATCAAAACAACAATGAATAAAATACTCTAGTGTTGCCATGATGTCCCTCCCTCAATCTGGCCAGAATCATTGTTTCTTGTCCACAACAACATCATAAGCTGGAGGTGGGACTGTTATTATATTCTGAGGAGGACCTGAAACAAAAATGATATATCTGAATAAAGAGTTGGCCTCACTGATATGTCATAAGTGTACATGCATCCCCCATGTGGGGACATAAAATAGAATCTGAATATTTGCAGTATTTTTACTTTTAGTAATAAAATCTTGACAGACAACAATGATACATCTTTTATGATTCATTTTTAAATGACATCAATATGTCTAATCACAGATACATTCTGTATAATTTAAGAAAAAAAATAAAACGTTATACACAAAACTTAAAAAGTAGATCTAAATGAATTTTATTTACAACCAATAATAAAATTTTCATATTAAGACATTTCTTTATAACTAACCCTAGAAAAGTCAAAAGTTTCACTAACATACATGTACTTATTTCAGTTCCATTCCAATACTAACTAAGTATCACATCTTTGTTAGAATTTTGGGGTACTTAACTTTTAGTTTAGTTTGTTTGTGTTGGAAGCTACATGTATAAGCTTATTGTAAAACTTTCTAATCTGTTCCTGGAACCAACCAGTACTGAGCAATGAATGTAAATTTTCTTGCTCAAGGAAGCAACAGCATGCCCTGACAGGGTTTGAACCTACGCGGACAGCAATCCTTAGGTTACTGATGCGTTAACCACACGGCCATGCTGCCACTCATTCTTAACTTTTAACCTTTACCCTGTTGAAGGCGAAAGTAATTAGTCTTTGCCATCAGAATAGAAGCAGGCCAGCCTTAACATCCGTGCAGTCTGACCAGGCTCTATACCGTTGGCTGGCCAACTTCAAATTCTCTCCTTGATATCCCCTAAAATTGATTCCAAAACAAAATGAAAATTGGAAAAGTCCAGAAATTCAGCAGGTTAAGGGTTAACCTACTAAGTTTGTGTCATGGAAGTATCCTGTTATGAATTTGGAATAGCCAATGAAAAGATATAGGGATATCAATATCATATATAAAGGCATAACAATATAGAAAATATCATATATAAAGTTATAAACTAAGATACAAACAATATAGAAGCCTGGGTGGCAAAGACTGATCACTTTCCATTCCAGCAGGTTAACAGCTTACTTTATCCTTAGTGAACATAAAGCCTGTTTGCTTGTCTAGTTTTTGTACTGATATCAACACATGTATGGCCATATATGGCTGCTTGTCGAGTATCTAACAAGAACCACTTGATAACAAAAATGACCGGTCACCCTCTCTGTACTGAGCTATGAGGCCTAATAGGAAACTACATAATCACCATTTCCAGACATCAGAGGCTGGAAACCAGATGTTGCATTTCTGTTGTCGTTTCCATTGGAACTAGTCATAATATGTTGCTGGTCAGTCTGTCCTGTATAATCCTCCTGAGAAGTTGGCTGGTGACCTGTTGTTGTTTTAAAACAATTAAAATGATATTTAAACAAGGGTGCCATAGTCACAAAATACGCCCGTTTACCAAAGCTTTAGATGGAGATGGGGGCATTATGGATAAGTGTTATCTAGCAAGCAAGTTTTTATTCTTGGCACTGTGTTGTTAAATGAACCTTAAAACAAATCAGTAGAGAAGATATGCACAGGATGTGTGACCTTGACCTTGGTCGCAGGGACCTGAATTTTATGCACGGCACTCAGCCTCACAATGATGAACACTTGTGCCAAATTATATTGAAATCCCTCTATGCATGTAGAAGTTTTGCTCCAGACAAGCGTTTTTCTATGAGCTCTAACTGTGACCTTCACCTTTGACCTAGAGACTTGGTTCATGTGCAGGGCACTACGTCTCATGGTGGTGAACAATTCTATAAAGTAACATTAAAATTCCTCCATGCATGTAGAAAATATGCTCCGGACAACATCTGGATATTTAATCATCTCCAGTGACCTTGACCTTGCAAATATTAACCTAAAGTAAATGTGTCACACCTGTAGTCATGATAATGACCATTTGTGTTACAATCCCTCAATAAATGATGATTAAATCGTCCCTATACACATCTTCATATTTTTATCTAAACTTTGACCTCTATGTGTGACCTTGACCTTGGCTGCAGGGACCTGAATTTTGTGCGCGACACTCCGCCTCACAATGGTGAACATTTGTGCCAAGTTATATTGAAATCCCTCTATGCATGTGGAAGTTTTGCTCCGGACAAGCGTTTTTCAATGAGCTCTGAGTGTGACCTTGACCTTTGACCTAGAGACCTAGTTCATGTGCTTGACATGGCTTCTCATAATGGTGAACATTTCTATGAAATTTCATTAAAATCCCTCCATGCGTGTAGGAGATATGATCCTGACAAAATCTGGATATTTCATCATCTTTTGTGACCTTGACCTAGTATATATTGACCTAAATTATATGTATCACAGCCATAGTCTTGATAATGACCATTTGTGTTACAATCCCTCAATAAATGATGACTAAATGGTCCATATACACATCTTCATATTTTTATCTGAACTTTGACCTCTATGTGTGACCTTGGCCGCAAGGACCTGAATCTTGTGCGCGACACTCCGCCTCACAATGGTGAACATTTGTGCCAAGTAATATTGAAATCCCTTTATACATGTGGAAGTTTTGCTCCGGACAAGCATTTTTCAATGAGCACTAAGTGTGACCTTGACCTTTGACCTAGAGACCTGGTTCATGTGCGCGACACTGCTCCTCATAGTGGTGAACTATTCTATGAAGTTTCATTAAAATCCCTCCATACATGTAGGAGATATGCTCCGGACAAAATTGGACGCCGCCCGCCCGACCGCCCGCCCGCCAGGGGCGTTCCCATAATACGTCCCGTTTTTTAAACGGGCGTATAAAAAGGTCTTAGAGGGTCCATAACTGCTCATCTGAGTAAATTGAAAAAAATACAAAAAGTTTACAGGGGTTTGGCCATTTTCAACCATGATATTTACAATTTTGTAGCGACTGATCCTATATTCTAAATATTCTAGTTTGATGTATTCAACCTCCTAGAAAAACAATAGCTGTCAGTTAGACAGCACCCTTAACTTTCGTAAGTTTTTGCCTGAAAATTGAGATGAGAAAAATAGATATAAAAACTTCAAAGTGATACCTCACTTAGGATATAGAAAGCAAGTAGGGTGGTATGTTGAATTTTGCTTAAGCCGGTGCTAGGGGGCGTGGACGGTAACTTGCACTTTCCAGTACCGTCCATGAACAGGCTCAATCAAACCGAGCCTGCAACATTTTCAATTTTGTTGTGTTGGACTTTCTTTAGGGATTCTGTTTTTTTATATTTTAGCCATAATTCTGATTAAAAAAAGGGGCATAATTTTGTCATTATCCTTGACAGAGTTATGTCATCTTTGGTGGACGCGTAGTTAGTGGTCACCAACAAGAATACACATTCAAAGCAATACCTCAAAGGGTAAACAAAATATGTGAAGTGGTGTAAAAAAAAAACTTAACCAAAGTTCTAAGTTGCAAAAAAGGGGTATAATTTTTTCAAAATCCAAGACAGAGTCAATTGGCCTCTTGCCTGGAAGTGGAGATGATGGTCATAATAAGTATACAAAGTTTTAAAGCAATACTTCAAAGGGTATAGGAAATATTAATGGGATGGTACAAAAAAACTTAACTTAAAGTGTGGCACTTTACTTGACTAAATGGTTAACTTTAAAAACATTAATGTTACATTTGATTAAATTGGAATTTCACTGAAAAAGATGCTAAGAAATAATATAGTGATACTGACATGCTTGATTTACTGTGGCAGGCAGAACTCAGTTGCCAGTTGTACAATATACATTATTTCAAACACAAGCAGGTACTTGAGTAGAACCACTTACAACATTCAGCTCGAAATACTTAAATGAATAGATTTAAAGCACCTGTCTGCATAGTAATTGCTCCGGTGTCTGCATCATATTTACTTTCAAGATATCCTTGTCTGTTCTGGCGTCTCCTCACTTGATAAGCCACTAAAATCAATGCAATCACAACCACACCCACAATTGGCAATGCATATATCAAAGCATCTCTTCGCCCATGACTTGGTGCTGAAAAAATACATGTAGCATAATAACAGAAAAAGGGGACCTTTGGCCAAAAATTGCTTAACAGAGGATATATAATGTATTTGTGTAAAATACTGAAAGCTAATGTAAAATATAACCAAGTCCAGTCAACAAGCGACGTTCATAGTACCTATTGTCCATGTTTAACAATGCAACAACTAACAATAGCTTAATTGTGATGACAACCAAGTGATGACAACCAGATACATCAAATTGTTCATTCAGATAAAGATTTGAAAATTACATTGGAGTACGTTTATTTAATTGTTCTTTACTTTCGACAGATTTACAGAATGCAGACAGACCTATTTTTTGAAAAAAATTAAAGAAGGTTCGAATCAGGGATTGGGAAATCTACCATGAGTTGGACTTTAGATAGTGTGTTCTGATTACGGATTTATGTCATTTCACTTTGATATAATAACAAGGCAGTCTGAAGGACAGCTAAATCCCCTTCCGCAGTGAACATGAACGTGTACTTCTTGACCTTTTGCCAACTATGACCTTGATGTTGTGCCATGCATATCATAAGCCAATAGTCTCACGATTGTGATTATTTGTGCCAAGTTATTTAGAATCTTCCACAAGTTATTTTTTTAAAAATTTCAGCGGTTTAAAAGTTATGGACATTGTCTCATAATGGTGAACACTTTTGTCAAGTTAATCAAAAAATTTTCAACCGTTTAAAGGGTTTTTTGAAGTTTTTTGACATGACAGGATTGAAATTTTTTTTTTAGATTATTACCCCATTTGATGTAGATCTATACTAATAACTTATGCACAAAATTTCAGATCATGAGATCCCTCAGTTTTTCCAGAATAATTATTATAATGAGTATGGTGAAAAATGACCCAAAATTGAAAAGCGTTTAAACTTTTTTCGCTCAAATCTCGGACTGAGAATAGCACAAACATATGATTTTCAAAGTATTTCTTGTGTATTTATTAGTTATATTTTATTTATATTTCTGTTTTAAGTGCTCATGTTTATCTATGTGAAAAATTAAAATATCATGTTTTAGGCTTATAAAACCCAGTGATGTTCCTTTAAATTTATTAAGCAGACATGAAATGGAGACCTTTCAACACTTGACCTATAAGTGTGACCTTGAATTTGGGAGAAGCAACCCACTCTGCACATCATCTCATTATGGTGATCACTTGTGCCAAGTTATTTTTAAAAAGTTTCAGCTGTTTAAAATTTATGAAGCAAACACAAAATGTAGACTTTTTATTATGAAATGAAAACTTTTAAACATTTGACCTTTAAGTGTGAACTTGGCCTTTGGGATGGCAACCCAATTTTTGCACTCTGCACATCACCTCATTATGGTGATCACTTTTGCCAAGTTATTTCAAAAAGTTTTCAGCTGTTATGGAGCGGACACAA